ATGTCACTTCTCCCATGTGACAGTGAATGTTGAATAAACTCCTCATAGATGGGAAATGGACTTGAAGTGACAGAAATGTGCCTCTACAGAAGGATGCTGAGAATACCATGAACTAAACATGTGAACAATGATATAGTTTTAGTGAAAATGGAAACAGAAAGGACTTCTACTAGGAATCAGAAAGAGACAATTGAAATTTCCAGGGCACGTAATGAGGAAAGAGGGCTTGGAAAATTTGATACTCACAGGGCATATTAAAAGAAGCAGCACATAACCTACCTAACGAGCTTGTGTAAATGAATAGCAAAGCAGGGTTTGAGAGATAGCATAAAGATAAAAGTTATTAAGAGCTACAAAGGACAGGAAATTGTGGAGAGCCATGAATGCCAGTGTCCTGAAGGAATATGGCATATAGAAGAAATGTATATTAGTATCAACTTGAACTGGTAGCGTGAGATTCATTTATGCTAGTTGTACAGAACTTTCTTTGGTCTCACTGAGCTAAAAATTTTGCTGATTCAATATAGAATTTGTTGATAGTGAATAAAAGAATGGAATGTAAAATGCATTTATTGCATTCTCACAAATTTTTTTTTTTGTTCCTAACAGATTTGAGAATCATAAGAAATGGTCATGGTTCCAGGAGGGCATATATGCAATGGAATTGAGGTCTCAAAACCAATTCAACCCAGACAAGAAATTCTGCTGGCTTCTAAAATAAGAGAAAAAACCAACACACAAATGCAAGAGCAAGTGTTACCAACATGTCTAGAGATGTTAGAAATACAGTAAGTATTTTATATTTCTGCCTGAATTTTGGAAGGAGGAGTTATCATTATTTCCATTTGGACAATTGTCTTCATGTTTTGCCATCTGGCTTTCTTCAGATGTTTATCAATTTGGTAACCATCAGGGAGTTTCAAACTGAACCCTTTATTTAATCTTTGGGAGCAGTACTAAAAACAAGAAGACATGGAAACATTGAGCACAATCTCCCTGAAGGTTGCCTGGATTGGCAAATACCTGAGGAAGGCCAGAGAGCACAATTGCTAAAATTTTGTGATGATAACAACAAAGATGAGGACATTAGTCTGAATGTAAATAATTAATTTTATACTTATTTATGTCTCATCATCATCTGAATTTTACTTTATATGTACTACTTACTAATATACTATTTGCCTTAAACACACACACACATATATATATATAAACTGACATGAGTAAATATTGTGAATAACATGCAATTTAGCTTTGTACAGTGAGAAAAACATTTATTTTTGATATTCAGTTGCTTTGTAATCCAAAATTTGGCAGAAAAAAGACAAAACAAATTTTCTAACCAGTCTGGATGATGCCTGCTAGCTAAGCTTTCATACCCTAATTGGTAAAGCACATTCACAGTAAGACAGGTTATCAAAGAAATGTCTAAAAGCTGATTATTTCCATCCATGCTGCTTATTTAACAATCATAGAATAAATGTAAGAATGAGTTTTATAAAAAGCAACGAAAGAAAGGGAGAAAGATTAGTTAAAAATGAATAACGACAATGCTTTCAGCTAAGAAATTTCATCAAAACTATTATGGATATAATTATTAAGAAATATACATTTAAAGTATTATCCTGATAAGACAAGTTTGTAAATATAAGAGAGATGAGTTCAAATCTTGCTGGGAGCTTATTCTTTATTTCTGATCCATGCTGTTTAATTAAGTTATGGAACAACAACAGCAACAACCACCTGCAAGTTTGGATAACCAACATCAGAAATATAACTATCAGATTTTTTTGTGCAAGTCAGTGTTTTTATAATGCTTGTAAAACTTTCAGGATATACATATATAAGCAATGTATCATGTGAGTTTCAGCTTGTAATATCTATCCTTATTAAAAAATATTTAAAATTACTTGTTTGGTCAGTTTATAAACAAGGTGAAACATAAATATTATTTTGTAAATAAATTGAAAAGGTAAAGGCCATAAAAACATAATTGATTAAAACAATATTTCATGTACCTGAATAAATTTTATGATTTTTACATGTTAATATGAACTTCTTGATATTCTATAACCTTCATTAGTCTTTTAATCACTGATTTTACTAACTTTTCTCCTTATTCAACTTTAACATTACTTGTATCATTTTTATTGCTTCTCAGAAATTATTCTTTGCTTGAGTATTGTTTTTCAATTTAATATACACCTCTTTTAATGATGATCTATAAATTTTTCATTGGATTAATATCCAAAGAGGCTGGGGTCCATTTTTGAAAACATTTTTCACAAAGTAAACAATAGTTATTTTTGTAGAATGTAAAGGAACATTGTCTTGCATGAATATAATCTTTAGCTTAAATCTTGGTTGTGACCTGTACCACTCAAAAATTGCCTTGTCTAAGAACTTGGAATAATTCTCTGTGTTTATCTTTGCATCATCAATTTTAAGGCACATAATTTTCCTGCCTGTAATACTAATCCTAAACACTACTCTACCGTTACATTGTGTTGACTGTCTATTTCCATGAAGGACTCGACTTCAAGCCCAGCCATCAGGTCCAACCTATGTAGCTATAAATTTATTGCTAAATGTTACTGTTGAGAAATCAATTTTCATGTACTACTTCACCCATTTTACATGTTTCTCTTTGCTCTGTTTAATTAATGACAGTAGTTTAGTTGTTTCTACATCATTAACCAAAGTTTGTTTTGTGTTTTTTTTATTTTTCATTTTTTTTTTTTTTGTTTACATTCAAAACTTCAGCATCTTGAAATATTTTCTTGCTGGTTGATCCACTTGTTTATTACCAATTTCATTCACCTCAATTCTCTTTTTGTGACATTCTCAAAACCAGTTTTTGTTTCTAATCTTTTTTGAGTGTTCTGTGAATTCCTTTCAACTTTTTTCTCAATTTCCAATGTTGTGTTTGCATCACTCAATAACTTAACAAATATCTTGCTTGTCTTTTGAGGTTATATCTTTCTTTTGACCCATGGCAATCTTTACGTATCTGAAATTACAAAATAAATATTAATAACTATACTATTATTTATATTTATTTACAATTTGATAAACGACTTCCAAGTTGCATAATAAAATCTCAAACCACCAAATAAGTTACTATTAATATTTCTAATAAAAATAGATTACATATAGAAAGCTGAAGTGCATATATAATATGTATTTTGTCATCCACAGACTGTTTCATTGTATCACAACTCATCAGTATGGCTAGACATCCGATTGCTTCAAGTCAGAATCGAAACCCAACTGATTTGGCATCAGTCGGAGATTTTCCCCCTAAGCTATCAGTTCTCAGCAAAGAGGAAGGTGAATTTTTATGTATTTATTTGGAATAAACACGCCAGTGACTCAGAGTGCTCAATTCATAGAAGAGCTTTGCATTATTAGCAGTAGCAGTCACTGTTTGCAAAGTGTGTGTATGTATGTTATTTTTAGTAGATAAATAGACGCTCCATTTTCTTTTCTTTTTCTCTTTTTTTTAACTGTGCGTATTAGGTCTATAGGTCTACACACTCAAGGAAACTTAAATGAATAAAGAAAGAAAATGTTCTCCCAGCAGGGTTTGAACATACATCTCCCTTTGCATGAGAAACTAAGCCTACATGCTTTAGACCACTCGGCCACATAAAGCATCACAGCTGATTAAGGTTTTATTTATCATTTTAAGGAATGCATATACTGTGTTCAGATTTTCTCAAAATCCTATATCTGCTTGATTTTGTATATGAAACATCAACAAAGCAATTTCTAAAGAATCAGTAATTCTTTATAAATTGCTTTTGAATTTGATATTTTTATTGCTTCAAACATTATTTTTCGTGTCTACTCGTGTTTGAAATAGACACCCCTTCTTTTATTCATCTACCGGTCTGCTCACTCAAGAAAATTAAAAAAAAAAAAATAATTTTAAGTTATGCTATATTCATGGGTAAAAGTGTCTCAATATCTAAGACAGAGCATATATAAATATAAGAATGGACACTGAGGTCAACACCAAGTGACAACAGTCTGTTTCATGACTAAACACAATCTCAACTAAATGTAAGTACATCCTGAAAGTTTTTTCAACATTCTTTGGTTAATCCCAATTTTATTAGGAAAACATTGACTAACATAATAAATTTTACATTATGTATCTACTGGAGTCTATTTCTATATATCTATATATCTGTTTATCCGTAAGAGGGTGTTAGTGAAAGCTTCTTAACCTTACCAAGAAATGATTCTATTCCAAATTTTATGTTTGGTCACTTATAAGGGAGTGGGTTGGCTAGTGAATTTTTCAGTACTTCCTTTTAACTATTACAATCTATTCATATCTATCTGACCCATTTGTTGGCTGAAATGGTTTAGTCTTTGCACATGATTTTTAAAGCCAGTAAGCCTACTTAGAAAATTCTTGATGAAATCCAAAAAAAGAATCTGGCATCACATGGCGGCCTCAATCATCACAACATAGCTTCCCTATGTTTTTTCTATAAATATTTTCATGGCAATTGTTCTGATAAGCTTTCCTCTTTGTTATCACAACTTCATGAATTTAAGTGTTGTACTCTATTGGCAATTAGCTCTCATCATTTTACTGTTTGAAATTGTAGATATAACTGTAAATTTATTTTAATAGTTTCTATTGCACTTCTCACCTGTGGAAGTCACTTCTGGCTTTTTGCTTTCCTGTCAATTATGATCTTTAAAATGAAATATCACTTGTCATCTTCTGTCTCCTTGAATCCTGTTCTTTTTAATGTCCTTTCTCCTCAGTACCGTTTTCTCAGTTTCCTTCACTCTTGGTAACCCCTTGCGTCTTAGTGGCTATATCACCTTTCTTGGGATGAAGCAAAATCCCCCAGCAGTTACTATATTTGAGTTCTTGTAAAATGTGCATGATATGAATATATATATATATATATATATATATATATATATATATATATATATATTAAAATGTGTCTGATAATAATAAAGTAATTACTTACTATTGTGTTTTGCAGCAATTGTACAAACATTCACAGCCATTAGCTGAAATAAAAATTTGAAAGATTGAATAAAGTTTTAATAAAATTTGGCAAAATGAAAAAAAAATAGTTTCAGTCAACTTTTATTTAATACAAATTTCTAGAAGGATCTCTTGAATTTGATGGCAACTTGGATTTTTCTCTCACCCCACAAAATGCCTCAAACATATCTCCTGGGGTGAGGTATCTGGTAAACTAATGCTATCACCAAGCTACTTTTGTTTACTTGTATAAATTACAGCAATATTATTATTAAAAAAAATATTTTTCTATTGTTCAAAATGTAAGTCTTTTCATCTTACACTGTGGCTACATATTTCAATAACATTAAATTTTTACTCATAAATGCACTAAATTTTCTTAATATTCTAAGTTGAGGAATGTTAAATGCAATCAAATACAGAATTAAAAAAATTGGATTTTTTTTAAGGTTGTTGAAAGCAAAACAGTTATAAAAGCTTGGAAGAATTATTAAGATCAAAACAAAACAAAGAAGAGCTTTGTCTTGTTCACAAGTTTCAACAACCACAGTTTGAAGTCACTAGAATAGATGACAACAAAATTAATGGGAGAGAATAAAAGCATAATATATATGTAAAAAAAAAAAAAAAAAATCCACATTACAACCACCAAAAACGTTTGCGGTTTCTCTCTTCTTTTTAATATACACATTTTTCTCTCATTGGAACAACTATAACCTCTTCCCTATATATATATATATATACACACACACACACACTGTAGGTCAAAATTTTGGGGATCCCCTCTGGATTTAATAAGTTTCATGCCTTCTTTGGTTTAATTAACTCCTACTAAGATAGGATGCTAAAACTATTTAAGCCATAAGTGCATGGTGTCTAATATTTTAGAGAGGGGTGTTGCGTAAAATTTAAAATCCACTAAGACCCTAAGATTACCATTAGCCAGAAAGTTTATGCAGTCATCAGTTAATTTTGTTATCATTATTGAATATATGCTAAAACTCTTCAGGGCAAAAAAGGCACACAACATTCAATTTTTAGGTGATTCTTTGAAATCCAGAGGATGACCCCAAACTTTTTATCCAGAAGTGTACATGGTGCACCAAGTAATAAAGAATATATTATAAAGAAAAACAAAAAAACTATTTAATTGAGAAAGAAAAAGTATAGTTCAAATTGTGCCAGTGTTCAACTTACAAACATTGAAAAATGTTATTCACTAAAGCTGCCTTTTATCTAAAGGATGGCCTTAGTAGGAAGTGTATATCTTGATCAAGTGGTACTCATGCTGGCCATTACATCCATGATAGAAGCTTTAAAATACTTGTTAGTATTCATAGACCCAATCAAATGTTTCACCACTGTGTCATATAGCTCAATTGACAAGAATAAAGATTATGTTGAAAAATAAATATTTGGTGTATAAAATTAATGCATTTTTACTCATTATGTCATGACCTTGTTGATATATATAAGTATTCAGAATAGATAAATAGGCATGAATATCAATAAATATGCAACCCAATAATGAAAAACAAAAAACAAATATTCTCAATATAATTTTCTCTCTTGTCAATGCACTTAATCCTTTGATGGATATTAATCACATCACACATTATTCACTTGAGAAAATCAAGCTCTAAATTCATGGGGAACAATACATGCATTGATCCTCCTTCTAGATAGATATTGTGATAAATAGATAATGTTCTCTCTCTCTCTCTCTCGCTCTCTCTCTCTCTCTATATATATATATATAATGAACACAAATAGACAGAGATGAGCATAGACTTAGAGAGAGATAAAGAAAGAAAGAGAGATAAATATAGACAAATGGTTAATGTACATGTAACAGCTGTAAAGTAAACAAATATTAAAAATTAAATTCCAATAAAAACAATCAGTGTCATCCCCTAAAATTCAAAAACTAAAAATCTTTAAAATACTAGCAAGGGTATCCAGCACTGCCTGGGAAAAGATCTTAAAATATGACAACATTGGAAAAAAATTTTATTATATTTTTTAACAAACTAAATACAAAAGATTATTTATGTATGAAAAGTAGTTGTTTTCTGACAAAATCTAATGTAGTCTCTCAGTTTGACATGGCTTCTTGCTACATAATGTTATTGTTTTCTTTCATTGGTTGAAGTTGAGTGAATTTAAATGCCAAGTCAGTTTGAAATCTGTTGATTCTTGAAATAAACATGTCCTTCTTTTTGCTTACTCCCAATTAGAATAGACACCTTGATGAAGATGTTGGAGAAGTGCTTGACAGACCAGTTTTAGAGAGTCAAGTCTTCTGAGAAATGTTGGTCACCTCAACTTTTAGTTGAAACCTGTTGGGAAGAACACCAGGCAGTTCCAGAGAGTTGAAGAACTCAATTGAGTTCTAAACAGCCTCAGAATTGTCTGAACTGTGTCAGTTGATTTGTCCAGCTGAATCTTCACAGGAATCTGTTATAAGAACTTTCAGCTTTTATATATATATATATATATATATATATATATATATATATATAACTGAATCCTTCTTTGGAGCAAGACTGTTGTTAAAAGAGCCACTGATATTTTTTTCAGTTTTGGGATAGTTTTACATTTAAAACAGCTGAAAAAAATCAAGTTTAACCTGAAAATTTTTTAAATATTTGCTAGAAAATGTTCTTCGGGGTGGGGGATGATATAACATTTTACAAATAAAACAAAACAAAGTTTTTAGCCCTTTAAGTTCTTTCATTTAGTTGGAAAAAAAAAAAAAACTATTTTAATCCTAAATTGACCTTTGGTGACCTCCAGTCACTCTGGAGTTCAGCATATGCATCCTTTCATCTTTATACCCCCCCACTCACAAACCAATTTATCTCCTGGAATATAAATATTTGGCAGCAATACAAATCAGAAAGGCTGAAAACTAATTATAACCTCAATGACCTCTGATAACCTCAGATGTCAAATTTCTTTCACTGATTCTGACATCATGCTTCCAAGCCCCCGCCAGAATCACTACAAGTAGGGGTCTGGCGATATGACATTATGATTACTGGAAGACATCAGTGTTAAAAGTAGTGTACAATGAGGTGTCTTTGCTAATGTACCATAAATTTTCAAAATCTCTGAAGTGTAGTTAGTTTTTATAAAATCTACCAATAGTCTATTTTTTTCGTTTTTATATATATATATATATATATATATATATGTGTGTGTGTGTGTGCATGCATATGCCATATGTTCAATTCACATCAACAACATAAGCTCCAGTAAGTACCTGACTCTTCATGATATCCTCTAAGTTTTTGAGAGCCAAATCAGGCCAAAAATGGATTACTGTTGGCATATTTGGTGTGAGCTGCCCGGTCCTCACTTTCCAGCCTTGATAGAGTTTAAAAAGCATCTCCGAAATCTTTGTTGGAGATGAATTTTCTAACCTCTCTCTCTCTCTCTCTCTCTCTCACAGGATGTGGAGAGCCTCTCACTTCTCTCTCATTACTTCCATGGAAAGTGTTTGGACAAACTATATTCCTTAGTTCTACCAGATCTAACCTTCATGATTAGGAACCCCCATGCCACTTACATAGTAGCAAACCACCCACTTCCCCCTCCAAAATTCTACTGGTGAGAAGTAAGTTCTACTCAAACAGCTTCTTTCTGTGAACCACTGTCAAGAGGATGTTTCCCCAATCACTACAATGTTAACCTGTTCAAATCTAGACTTTTTCTTTTCTTACTAAAGTTTTTTTCATTTTCTTTCACTCTCAGTAACTTATTGCATTTTAGTGGAATTATTGTCTTGCTTGGGATTAGATGATTAAAAAAAAATGTGACCAGTGTCAGAAAAATAGGATATAGCATTGATGAACAAGCTTAGAGAAAGGCTAAATCAAAACAATCCATTGTCCCCAATTGGCATATTGGATGGATCGAAGCTAATCAAAGAGAAGCATCGATTAGAACAGAAACTGTGTGTAAGGTTAAAGAAATTAAAATTAAAATTGATAATATCATAGCATTAAAGGAGGATGAAAAACTGGGAGGAAATATAAATTCCTAATCATCAACCTTATTTCAAAACATTCATTGATCGAAGACAATACACCGGTTATGATATCTGGTAAATTTATCTCACATACTGAATTTGAAGACATATGCTTCTGCCATGTTTTTACCAACTTATGAATATTCATATAATTGTCCAGTCCATGTCTTTGATATCTTCAACTTTCAGCTAATAATAAAACCATAAAAATAGCATAACTGGAGAGACATGACTGGTTTTATACAATTATGGCAAGACAATTCCTTTAGAAATTTATACGATAAACCATCTTTATTGTGACAATCATTAACCAACTCATCTAATAATACGTGGTGCTACCTTAACTGACACAAGATGGATAATGAAACACATACAAAAAGGTGACAGCATAACACATGATGGAGGATTAGACATTACCATGGAACCAATATGGGAAACTACAAGTGAAACTTTATACCAAATATTTGACCAAAGAAAAATGCATGTATGTATGAAGTCAATAGCATTACAATAAGCTATCAACTGATTATTAAAACAAATAACAGCAACACTAAATACAAGAAACTGATTAGTAGAATTATCATTAACAATGTTTTATATATATTAGAAGATCTACCAGAAATAATGCCAGTTGTCCGAACAAAGGAGCCATAACTTTGTACTTTACTTTTGAAATTATGTACACATTGACTATTAATAGGGGCTTCCATTGAAACACTGGTTCCCATAGGGTCACTGAAGTTAAGCAATGTCGAGCCTGGTTGCTACCTAGATGAGTCACTGCTTTGGAATACCAGGTGCTGTAAGCTTAGATGTGTAGGTTGTGTAATGGATAATGGCTCTGAATTTTTAATCAGAGAGCTGAGTTTCAATTCCTATTGGGTTCATTACATTTACTTGCATGCAAATACCCCTGGAAAAGATATGAATCCACCTCCTCTCCCTCAAGTTATGGGTTAATTAGTAAAACTTGTATCACTAAAACTATTATTATCTGAAAAAATATTTTCTGGCTTTAAATAACCTGCCAAGGGTTGATAAGCCACAGCAAATGAATCGATCAATTGCTTATTAAATATTAGTATGATCAACTAAAGCATCTACAAAAATTATCTACCAGAGATCAAAGAGCAGCAGTGGATATACAACACAAGTTTTTAATTTGGTCATGGATTCCCATTAGAGAATTTGAACAAAGGCAACTATTTTAAACATTACTCTGGTAAATTCATTGATAAATAAATCTATTAACAAATATATTCACAGACTTTGATAATTACAGTACTTGTATTATTATAATGTAGAGACTCTTGATAAAGTCCAAAAAATCTGCAATGTTATCAGTCCTGACCAGGCATCTTGGCTGGAATCACTTTCCCAACTTTTCCTGTGCCTTTTCTATAAATATTTTTGTGGTAATTGTTCTGATGAGCTTTCCTCTTTGATACCTGGACTTTAGAATTTGAGAGCAGTACTAGATTGAGAGCTAGGTTTTATCATCTTACAGTTGAAATTGCTAAATGTGTGTAACCATAAGTTCTATGCTAACAGTTTCTTCTCTCGCACATCTCACTTTCCAGTCAACTGCAATGATAATCATTATCTTTTGTCTTCTTAATTCCTATTCTATTGTTGTTCTCTCTCTTTAATAATATTTTTCCTTTTTCTTACATTCTTTCACACTCAGTAACCCTTTACATGATTGTAGCTTTATTGCCTTGCTTGGGGTGAAATGGTTAAAAAATAAATAAATAAATGTCACAATTTATATACATTCAAAGTAGAATTGCCATAGATAATATTACTGACAACCAAAAATTTGATCAAGAATCTTTAATGACTCAAGCAACAGAGAAAATCATTTACTTGCGTTTATAGATTTCAACAAGAAAACAACATTAACTTCAATATTTCTCCAGGCCAGGTATTAAAATATAGCTACAAAGATCATAAAAAAATGTATTTCATAAAACTTGTTACTATACACCCTTGTATTGATGTTTTCCATCTGATGAGTTTATCAAAAATTAAACATTGTAAAAACCCTCATTACTTTTATATCATAATGTGGCAAAAATACTCTAAATGTATAAGTACACTTTCATGACTTTAACCTTATATTCTGTCAGTTTATAAAGTTTTTACTCTATATGGCTTTTTTGCTACACACTTTAAACAGGAACCTTTGAAAAGATGGTTCCTCATGGGGTTTTACAAAATCACTTTCAATTCTCAAAGAATGATTTTGGAATCACTAATTCCAACCACCAAATGACGACAACAGTTACCAAAACCGATACTACAACACTAGAGGATACAGACGTAAAGTTTATTACTGGACAAGTAAATAAATACCAATACCTCATGTCTAAATATAACAGCACTGACTTGATTGTAGTCGATAGTAGAAGCAATCTCAACCCAAAGCATTAGTTCTCAGGAAGATGTCTAAGTGGAACTTCTTACCAGTGGGAAATGAAGGGAATGAGGTTAATTTGACCCTGTGTATGTGGTAGGGTGGATCCTGGAATGTAGCACATCTGAATATTTGCCATGGAAATAGTAATACGCTAGTGACATGTTGCCTGTGGAAAAAGGGGTTGTAGGCTGTAAAATAATTCAGGGGAACATTATGGAGTTTGTGAAAATAGCAGCAATATATGGAATGTTAGAGAATGCAAAGACCAAGGCTAGAATTGTCAGCGATTGGCCAGAGTGCCTCATGGGTGTGGCATTCTGACAGTGATGGATTGCCTTTGTTTTAATCTTCCTAAAACCAGATCTTCTGATTCATGTTACATAAATTTCTACCACTGTGGACCACTTTTACAATTCTACTTATCTCTTTCTTTCAACGAGAGACATTTACACCAATTTACCATTTGTTGTATTTTTATGTTCATGCAATTGTTTATTTCTTAAATCTCTGTCATTTCTTCTTTGTTCTGCTACCAGACGCTTAATATAACACCTTTGTCTGGGTTTTGGATATAAGTCCAAAACAGTGCATATTCAAAAAAAGGGGCACAAGAATTCTGAAGCGTTGGTACTCCTCCTGCACACAGGTTAGTGACCTGCTAAGATTACCTGCAGAGGGACACTGTCAACATGTGAAATGCATCCCAGTGACATCATCCCTCCTACCGCCTCCTAGAATCCAAGCTGCTACCATTCTCTCCTAATTAAACGAATAACAAAATGAAATGGTGCTTTTCATTGATACCATTTTATGTCGTAGTGTGGGGATCCAGAGATGACACAGAATGCAACAAGAAGCATAAATTGGCCTTTATTTCTTAAAATCAAATATGGAAACCTTGAGATCAAAAGAGAAACCAAGCTTACACAAATATGGCAACATATTCAGCAGGAGGGACAACTTTTCTTTATATGAAAGTAATGTTCATTACTGGTTTACACAGACTTCATTTAATATCTACAAAGAATAGTGTCAATGACACCATATTGACCTGGATAAACTTGCAAAAGATATATTTGTAGTATAGCATATGATTAGCTGTAAAGGCCAAACAGCTAGATGGTTCGCTTATAGGCATGTAAAAGAAAATCACAATTTCTTGGTGGCAAAAAATAGGAATTTTTAAAGTAGTCTCTTCAACTTGTAATGCTTAATATTTGGGTGGGAGTGAAACAAATTTGCATCTTTTAGTAATCTAAGAAGACACATTCACTGCCTTTAGCTCCAATCACACACAACTTTGACTCTCCTTTCTCCTCATCTGCACTGTATTATAGTGCTAAATTGTTGCCAATAACGACAGCACCCTCTCTAGTTTAACTAGCACCTAACCGTATGGAAAAACCAAAGTAGTACACTGGAGGTATTAGCCAAATGCCCTGTAATAGTATCCTAACTATACTAGGCATTGCCAATTGTAGGTTCTCATCACCAATATGTTCTCACTCACCTACCAAAGGGAGCAGTGTTGACCAGTCTCATGCAGCCAGCACTCAACAGCAGCAATCCACCAGCCTGCTGCAATCAATTTCAACGTATCCCTGGCATGATTAGTGATTGCTAAGATGTGCTCAAGTTTTCACCCTAATGTAGCGGAGACAAGAAGTTTGCTTACTTCTTCATTGGTGAGTTGTAATCAAAAGTTGTCCATAATCTATCATACCAACCATATTTAATGAAGAGCTTTTTGTTTTATTTTCTTTTAACAATAACAAGGGAGCATTTTGACTAATGATGTAAGTCACCAGTTGCTTCTGTACATTAACCCAAATTGTCTGTGTGTGTGTATATATATATATATATATATATATATATATATATATATATATATATATATCCAAATGTAAAAGAATGAAAAGAATAAATTCAAACATTCATAACATGAATTTAAAAAAGGGCTCAATAAGAGTAGAGCAATAAATATTTATTATAAGCTCTTACATTGGAAGATGCAAGGTACTGCAATAAAAATGCATATTTGTTTTGATGCCACGTCAGGTGGTTAACAATGGTGGTAATAAACAACCATTATTATCACCATTGTTAAATGCCTGATGAGATGTCTTTAGACATTGAAACAAATATGCATTTTTGTTGCGGTAACTTGCATGTTCCAATGTAACAGTTTATGATATATATCAATATCAAAGGAATTAGCAACTCTGGGAAAAGCTACACTTTGTGTTGCATTAAAAACAGCTTCATGAATTGTGGATGAATGAAATGACAAGCCTCTGATAACTTTGTTTGATACTTGTATAGACAAGTCCCTCATGTCCACAGACAAAATGTTGCTTAATATGCAAAATATCAAAGAAAGTAAATGCACCCTAGAAAGGTCACTCATATAAAAGGTTGCTAGTTTTTGAAAATTTTTAACTTTAAGATCTATAAAATTTTAAAATCTGAATGACAGTAAATTTCAATTTTTTTTTTTTTTTCTTTCTTCTTTATGCAATTAATATTTTGTTTATTAGACATTAAATTATGTCACTTAGCATCATTCATAATTTGCCTCTACTTTTCACTTGACCTGATGAATATTTAGGAGCATCTATTAAATTTAAAAATTTTAAAAACTAACATTTTTACATGTTGCAAATTAAAATAATCCTCACAATTGCCTTGATGAAATCTGTCAGCAGATAAAACGCATTGGCTAAGTTTATATATATAAGTCATAAATCACAGTCTGTCAGGTGTTGTTAGGTTTTTAAAGTTTAAATGAGATAAACATGATACCATCAAACAACCTGTATGGTGATGATAGTTTTTCCATGTTTGCCACTGCCACTTGTGAAAAACAGACAATAACTTGTTTTGCTACTGATACCAATGAAAAGAAATAACATAGCCAAATCTATTACCTCTTGTAATTACAGGTTTGTATTCAGTCTTGTTTTAACTTTGTCTCGTCATCATGACTGTATACTTCCAAACCCATACCTGTCGTGCTACTGGTAGGGGTTTGCAGGTATGCTGTCATGATCACTGGAAGAAATTTGGCATCTGAGGTTAACAGAGGTCATTGGGGATAGAATTAGTTTCTGTTTTTTATGATCTATAGTTTAGCCCCTATTATTTTTTTTAAATTATAGTTTGTACAAGAACCACTCAAGGTAGAACGTTACTAAATGTTGTAAGTGTGGATGGAGCAAGAGTTGTATATTATGAAGAGATGTAGAACAAATAACAGTTGACCCTAGAGTTGGAGAGGTTAAGATTGTAGTGATCAGAGGGGAAAGCATCCTCTTGGGAGTCCATTCCACAATGCAGCAGTTCTGGAAATGAAGTTATCTGAGTGGAACTTCCTCATCACTAATGGAATATGAAGAGAATTAGGATGAGTTAACTCGGGGTATGTGGCATTAGAGGGTCCTAGCTGTAAAGCTCTGGATTGGTGGAACCAAGAAATGTTGTTTGTCAAGCCATCAGCTATGGAAATAGTGAACTGAACATTCTACTCTATTTTGCTTGAAATTGCTCAATGGCATTCTTTTTTTTTTTTTTTTTTTTTTTTTTTATCTCTGCTGTTAATTTTAGATAACCTACATCAGACATGTGTGTCTTATGCATTAAAAAAAAAAGCCTTTGTCATTTGAGTATGATAAAAACATAGACTCACAAAAATATAAACAGATGCCTCCTGTATAGGTAAATTGTCTAATTCTCTTACCTGGTCCCTCATGGCAGTTTCAGAATCTCCCTGTTCCAGAGCTGTTTTCATTCGATGATAAATTGGTGCCATGTATGCAGGAATAATTGGACATGGAATTCCAATTGACAAGGCTGGAAGCATATCCTGAAAGTCATGGAAATTTTAAATAAAAAATTGAAAGTTAGATAATTTTCAAATGATTAATTTTTATTTTTGCTAAAATATAATCTTATATACAATCATATATTTATAGTGAAGCTTGTGTGTATATACTATGGTAATTATAAGGATATCTTCAGCAATCAGTGCTATTCAAATTATACTTTTCTTCACTCCCTTGCCATTTGGTTGGGATCAATGTGTAGTATCTGTTCTCTTCATCTCTAATGGTAAAAGTAATACTAAACTTTTCCTTATAAGGAAACATTTAGCATTCATTGACAAGCAGCTAGTGCTACACAAGTTACACATTTCTTCACTCTTCCATCAGACTGAGATCAAAATGTACGTTCTATTTTCCTCATCTATAATGCTCATGGTAACATTAACCATTTGCTTATAAGGAAACATTTGGCATTTATTGACTGAGCAATCTATTCTACTCAATTTTTGCTTTTCTTCACTCCCTGGCCATTAATTTGCGATGAAAGTGTAGTATCTATTCTACTCGTCTCTGATAGTAATGGTAATATTAGCCATCTCCTTATAAGGAAACATTTGGCATTTATTAACTAAGCAACCAGTGTTACTTTTGATTAAAATCTTTCTCTTAAAACAATTTTTCAGGAAAATACGTTCCTCAATTCCAGTAACAGTTATTTATCTTTTCAGTATTAATGACAGTTTCCTTCCTAACTTTTTCTTTAAAGTGGTGTGGAACATCAGCATCTTGGTTGTCAATATTCTAGTTAAGTACAGGGAGCTGAATTCTAATGAAAAATATATATATATATATATATAAAACCGAACACGCAATCTTTAAATTTTATGCTTCTGCTCTTTTTTATTGTCTAAGATTTTAAGATGAAACATTTTTCTTATTCCATAAAATATTTGAATTCGTATTTTCACCATTATCCAATGGAACAATGAATACATTTATCTAACATGAAGAATAATACAAGACCATTCTGAAAAGTTCTCAACCCAACCTACTTAACCAAAATCTGACTAAATGACCAAACATATGAATTTTTTTAAAACCCTTCTTGGTTATACTGAAAACATTTCAGAAACATATGGCCATTGCTTACATCTAAGTTGTTTTCTTTTTCCTGTAATATTTCAGATCTCCGCAATGGAGAAATAAAGGAATCCATAAATAAATTCTATTGAAAATCAATATCTTTACCCTGAAAGAAATTTTATACCAATGATTTAAGAGTAGAAATAATTGATATTTTTTTTAAAAGTTAACATAGATTACAGATGAGACATTACAGGAGAAGGTAGAAACTGAGGGATTTTGTGTTTTGTAAAATATCCTCGTTGAGTAAAATAAGAAATAAGATACATATACTGCATATAAAATGAAAGTATAAACTATTTCACAAAAAAATAATGTAAGGGAAAATACTTATAAATAGAGATTTTAATTACCTCCCCTGTATTATTTCCTGATTATCTCCCTTGTTTTATTTCAGTTTTTTTTTTTTTTAGCTCGAAATTTGAGTTTAGTTTGCTATAAGGCCACCAGGGGCAGCTAAAGCAGCCATCAGTAGTGGCGGTGGGTAGGTTAATTATTTGCACCCCCTACTAAAAATGGGTGTAAACTAATTTTAGTATGCAGATTCTTGTTCATGTCTCCCCTGACTTAAGCTGCCTCTATAAACTCAAAAGACACTGATGGTGATGAGCCTAAAAAAGAAATGTTAGAAAGATTACATTATACCAGTCTTACTAGTCTTATCTGCCTGGAAAAATCATCATTCCAAATTATGACTTTTTTACCTAGCATTAAACACTGATATCTGAGAGCAATGAGAACTACACAACAAAAAAAAGCTGAATTTCAGTATATGTTTTCTTAACAAAATTGATATTTTATTCCATTCTGCTGTAAAAGCAAGCTTGTAATCATTGCTATTTAATATTGTCAAAATCAAGTATTCTATTACATACACATTTCAGCCAAGGATTTACTCCTATCATAATAGTGAGTCTGTTTGGTTCAACAAGGTCAAATTGGTAGCTGATCTTAAAAATGACCTAGAATACGTTTTTAACTGGGGCAATGAATGACTTCTTAATTTTAACACCTCCAAAACGAAGCTGCACTCTTTTAATTGTCTGAAAGAACCTCTTTTGCCTTCAATCAGCATGCCTGATGCTAAACTCCAGGAGAGTGACTCCTTGCACCTTCTTGGGCTGATATTTTCCACTGACATGAAGTGAAAACATTGAATCAACTGCTAGGTTTATTGCTAAGAAAATTTGTTCACTGTGTCATGCTAGACAATTTTTCTCACTAGAATCTATCTTACACATTTATAAGTCTACCATTTGTTCATTGCATTGAATATTACTACCACATCTGGTTTGGTGCTTCTGCTATGTATTTAGAGATTCTTGATCAAAGAAGAATCTGCAATGTGGTTGATCCTGATTTAGCATTTCATCTTCAGTCACTTTCTCAATGTAGTTTCCCTATGCATTTTCTGTAGATACTTTCTCACAGTAATTCTGTTCTGATGAACTTTCCTCTGTGGTACCCAGTATTTAAGTGCACAATTACATTGACAACAAAATGTCTCATCATTTTACAGTTGAAAAGGCAAAGATCTAACTGCAAGTTCTGTAATGTAGAATTGGGTCAACCCAACAAGAGAGCAAGAGTTGGTTGTGTGTAGTGCAGTAAATACCATGAGTTATGTCCTCTTCTTAATTGGCTATTGAAAGAGAACATTCTACTTAGGTAGCACTGACAAAATTTGCATACAGATGATACTGGGCAGGTATTAGCCAATATTCAGCATTGGGTCTGGGACTGAGAGAGAGCGCTATATAACATCAGCTTTTTCTCAATGGGGACAAAGTGCTCTTGACATGCAGACTGTTGAAGTTTTGCATCAGAATTGGAGTTCACATTTACTGTGTTTAGAAAACCAGACAAGACGAACCATAAGTTCTATGCTAACAGTTTCTTCTCTCACAATTCTCACTTGTAGAACTCACTTCCGTTTTCTTGATTTCCAGTCAAGACTTGAATTAATGAAAAACAATTGACCAAACATATGCTACTCTACTGCTATTTTCATGGCAGATGTTTGAGCAAACTAGATTCCTTGGTTCTACCAATCCAGACTTTCTCAGCTAGGATCCGCTATGCCATGTACACCGAGTTGGTTCATCATTATTCCCTTCATATTCATTTGGTAAGGAGGAAGTTCCACTTGAACAGCTTTTTTTTCCCAAAACTGTTGCAATGTGGAATGTACTTCTGAGGAGATGCTTCCCTGGTGACTACAATCTTAACATTTTCAAGTTGAGTGCCAACCCTTATCTATTCTATATATCAATATAATATGCGACCCTAGCTCCCTCCCTATATTCCCATTTAGTAATCTTCTACCTTGAGTGGCACTTAGGCCTTGTATTGGATGAACAGTAGTAAAAATATAAAACATCAAAATGTTAGGATGAAATATGGATCTGAATTCGACAGAGTGATAAATTGAGGAACAAACATTTATAAATCTAACATGTTTCGCTTTTATTAAACTTTCATCTAAGAATGAGATATGGATTAAAAGAAAGAAAGAGAAAAAATTCTGGTACTTTTAATTTCATGTGTATTTGTTTTGCCAATCAGTGTTTATGTGTATCATGATTTTAGTTTGTTTATGTGCAATTTGCATGATAATGTATATTCTTTTGTGTGTGCCTGAGAGATATTTTTTTATTTATGTTTGGTGATTGTCCACATGTTGATTTAGGAATGTTTTTACATAACACCAGTTGTAGTGATAGTAGTAAATAGACATATCAGAATTCCCTCAAAGTATTTCCTGCATAAAGAATTATGTTCTTTTTTATTAATTAGGGTGGCATCTATAAAATCAAACTTATGGCCAGTTATATACCAGATTTGTTGGATCTATTTTCCTTTCTAACTATATCTCTGATTGTCTTGAAAGTGGTGGCAAAGATACTAGTGTTTGGAATAACTAATTTATTTTGGGATTTTGTAGATCAAATTGGTGATTATGACTTTTGTGTTTTAGATATTAAAGTGCTGTTGTGTAGTATCCCACACACCCCAAAAGCATTAAATTTAGAAATAAATTATTTATACCCACCACCAGAAATATGGTTAGGAATAAAAATAAATCCAACATGACAGCAGATGCTGGGATTTATGAAATAAAGTGCATGCAATATAGGAACAGTTATATTGGCGAGACATCTAAAAATCTAAAAGCCTACATCTACAAACATATGAGAGACCTGTGTATAGACAATCCTTTAAACTCACTTATAATACACAGGAACAAAACTGGCCATAACTTTGATTTTATAAATGCCACCCAAATTAAAAAAAAAACAAAAACAATTCTTTACACAGAAATACTTTGAGAGAATTCTGATTAATGTTTTACCATTTATAAATGCACATCAAACACACTATATTACATCACCAACTTTTATAAAATATGTCTGTTTACTACTACCACTACAATTGTTCTTAGGTAAAAAAATATCCCCAAACAAATAAAAATACCTACTAGACACACACATACATGAATATATATTATCATCTGAATCCCACATAGATAAACTAGAATCATGATATACTTGAACACATAAATTTTACACACAAACACTACTTGGCAAGACAGATGTACATGAAGTCTGCTTACCAAAGAAAACCAAACACACAAATTAAAAATACCAGAATTTTTTTCTCTTACTTTCTTTTTCTTCATATCTCATTCTCTGATTCACTTTAATAAAAGTGAAACATCAGATTTATAAATGTTTCCTATTTGTTTTTTATCCTATCATGAAAATGTTAACAAATTTATCCACATTTTACTTGTTAATCTAATATTATCTAGAAGAATATTGTGCAGATTCAATTTCATCCTTTTTGTAAAAGAAAATATATTTACCCCAAGTGTTCCAATTATGATTTGGAGATGTCGTCTGTCGAGGTGTGCACAAATAAGGGAACGTGTCAGACAGCCTGAGAAATCTTTCATTCCATGTAATGTGGGAATCTTCAACATACCTAATTGCAAAATCTTTACATCATCCACTGCAAAGAAAAAGAGAAACTCTTTAGACTTTATCATTGCTTAGCATTTAATGTTGTTTCTTAAGAACCTTATTCAATGTAACATTTGAACCTGAAACGTCTTCTGTTTTCGTTGCTGACTATTCTGTATCAGAAGTAAACATGTCCAAATTCTCTGTGCCTAAGTTGACGCAGAGAATGGAATTGGTAAACCAAGTTCAAGCCCCAAATGGAACAATTTGCATTCATTTCTTGTTAATGCCTTTGGAAAGGCATGACTCCACTTCCATGAGTAAATATCAGGGCAATTGCAATCTTTAGTCTTGTAAGACAATCTATATTAAGGCATTTGGTAATAGATTATTTCAGGAATTGTTCTTAGATACTAGTACCATGTAACACAATACAATCTGTTATATATTATTTGGAGTGGAGACAGGCACTGCTAAGAATCTTATAAATATAAAAGGCGACAATTTATCCATCGCACCACACACACACACACACACACACACACACACACACACAATATGAGGTATCTGTCATGCCATGTCTCACATGGGTAGGTGTCCCTGTATGTATTTCTAGTGGGCAACCCTGAGGTCACATTATGCTCTGCTCCCAGCCATGCACTGACTGGTTTGTATTGCCATTGACAACAGATAGTGACAATTATGGTGGTCTTTTTTTTTTCTCTGTCTTCACAAAACATATCTCATGGAAATCACAGCAAAAAGAAATAAAATTAAACCAGTAGACCAATCAACCTTTCTTTCTCCAATATTCACGGTATCTGTTCCAACTTCTGCAGTATAGAATCTTTTCTCTCAGAATGGTCACCAGATCTCTTTGTCCTATATGAAATTCTTCCATTGCTATTAATGAATTGTTGGTTCCAGGGTATCTTCCTCTTCATCGAAAAGATCCCAGCATTCACATGCATGTCTTTGGTGCTCACATCTGCGATAATCTTCCAATGTTCAGGAAATTTTTCTCTCAAGGCTGCTGACTACTTTTTCATATGCTTCTGTCTTTTGTTACTAAATTCTCTTAGCTATCTCTTTTTCCTTTATCAGTTCTCCTCTTCCCAAGACTGCAGTATATTAGACACAATAGCTGACAGTATAGAAAAGGCACATTCTCTCCATTTATCTACGAACATCTTTGTCTTCAGTGACTTTAATGCTCACCACGACATGTGGCTGAAACATTCTAAAGGTACTGATGTTGCTGGTATACAGACATTAATTTTTTCCATTGCCCAATCCCTCACTCAAATCGTGGACTTCTCTACTCATTTCCCTAGCAAAACTATGCAACAGCCTTTTCTAGTAGATTTATTTCTCCCCTCCTCTCTTTGCTCTTGTCAAGCTTTACAGGACCCCCACTATTCATAGGACATCTTTACAGGACCCCCCACTATCCATAGGACATCTTTACAGGACCCCCCCATCCATAGGACATCTTTACAGGACCCCCCCAATCCATAGGACATCTTTACAGGACCCCCCTATCGATAGGACATCTTTACAGGACCCCCCAATCCATAGGACATCTTTCCATTACCAGCATGCTGATTGGGACTCACTCTGTAGATTTCTTTGTGAGGTCCCTTGGACTGACATCCTTAATCACCCAATTGAAAATTGCAACACTGAGGTTTCTTCTTAGGTCAAAGCTGGCATGGATGCTTTCATCCTTTTTTGAAAATACCAGGTGAAACCTCAATCCTGTCCATGGTTCTCAAGAAGTACCTATTTGTTACTGCTTGTAATAAATGTAAACGAATCCTTGAAGGAGCAAAGTCCCTGTTTGCTGAGAGAATGAGGCACCGTTTTGCCTCTAACAACTCTTGTGATTCCTGGTGACTCTGTAATAGGGCATTAAATAAGTGCAAGGTCTCTATTCCTCCCATTTTCAATCAATTTGAGGTGCTATCATCCTCTGCTAATAAAGCTGAATATTTCCCCTATAAATTCTCCTCAAACTCTGTTCTTGACTCATCTGGAGTATTCCTGCCTAACTTCCCACTTAGAACTGAGTCTCTGTTGAATAATCTGCATATAACCCCTTCTATGGTTTCTGCTACCATCTCTAACCTAAATACCCACAAAGCATGTGGACCCAATGGTATCCCTGTAATAGTCAATAAGAAGTGTGCTTCTGAACTAGCTCCTGTTCTTTCTAAACTGTATTATAAATGCTTCACTGCCTCCTGCTTTTCTGCCTGTTGGAAGTCATTGTTGTTTGTTCCAGTTTTTAGGAATTCTTGTGAACTATCCAACCATCAGCCTGTTAGCCTTCTACCTCTTTTTTGGAAACTCCTAGAGGCCCTAATTAATGATGAATTGGTTCATCATCTCTCATCACAGGGGCATTTCTCAGACAACAATATGGCTTTTGTTTCTCCAGGTCAACTGCTGATGTACTAATAATTGTGGAAAGAGTATATCAGGCTCTAGATAGAAGCAGTGAAGCCCAGGCTGTTGCATTGGACATCTCAAAAGCCCTTGACAGGGTATGGAATACAGGTCTTCTCCATAAGCTGAAAAGTTAGTGTATTTGGACACATTTTTGAACTTATCTGGTTTTCCTATCAAATCGTGAAATGAAAGTTATCCTGAATGGCCACTCATCTAGATCCTTTATTACTAACATGTTTTCCAGGGCTCCATCCTTGGCTCTACTCTATTTTTAATTTTTATCAGTGACCTTCCTGATGACATTAGGTCTCAACTTGGTATCTATGCTGACGACACAACTCTTTACACCTGTCTTGATAGTAAAGCTCTACAGTCCAACAAGGTCAAAATGGCAACCGATGTCCAAAACGACCTCAAATCTGTCATTAACTGGGGCAAAAAGTGGCTTGTTAATTTTAATGCCTCCAAAAATAAACTTCTCTCCATATATCGTGTGAGAGACCCTTCTCTACTTTACATCAGCATGGCTGATGCTAACCTCCAGGAAAGTGACTCATTGTGCATTCTTGGGCTAACTTTCTCTGCTGACATGAAGTGGAAAAACTATATTGAATCTAGTATTAGGTCAACTGCTAAGAAAGTCGGTTCACTGTGTCATGTAAAACAATTTTTCTCTCCAGAAAATATCTTACATACATATAAGTCTACCAATCATCCATGCTTAGCATATTGCTGCCACATGTGGTCCAGTGCCTCTGTTATTTACCTTGAGCTCCTTGATAAGATCCAAAGAAGAATCTGCAATATTATTGATCCTGATCTGGCAGCTTGGCTTCAGTCACTTACCCACCACGATAAGGTTGCCTCTCTGTGTCTTTTTGATAAATACTTTCATGGTCATTGTTCAGATGAACTCTTCACTATGATACCTAGACTTTTTGAATTTAAGCCCAGTACTAGACTGGCAGTGAGATCTCATCAATTTATGGTTGAGTTGGCTGAGATGGAGCTGTAAGTTCTATGCTAACAGTTTCTTTTTTTCCAATTCTCATTTGTGGACCCCCCCCGTTCTGGCTTTATGCTTGCCAACCAACTTTAATCTGCAAAAATTTAAATGCAATGCTAACCGCTATCTACTGTCCTCCTGATTACTCTTTTCTCTTTCTACTTATTACTAATATTTCTGTTCCTAATTCCTCCACACCCTGTAACTCCTCGTGTTTTAGTGGCTTTACTGCCTTGCATGGGGTGACACCAATTTAAAAAATACATTTATAAAATGATGAAATGAATAATACGAAATATACAAAGTATGTAAGATGGAATCTATGAAAATCAATTGGATGTTTAAAATTTTATTGTTGTTAACATTTCATTCAATAAGAACATCATCAGAACAACTGAAAAAAATCTAAGGAAAAACTGTTACCATGGCAACCTTGCTCCTTAAGGAAGGCTGTAGTTTTTTTGAAAATTTGAAATGGGTAGTAAAATTAAAAATCTGTGAACGAATCAATAAGATTTGTACATAGGAAAATGTTAGAATAAAATATAAAATATAGTGTTTTGTTATAAGAAAAGAAAATTACAGTAAGAAAAATAAGTCATGTATATCTGAAGAAAATAGTGAATATGTCTAATCATAATTTATAGTGATATTATTTAGGTGTTAAGGAAAATACAGAATAAAATAAAAATAATTTATATGTTATAAAAATGTCTCTATTTTAATATTATTTTCTTTAAGAATTACCTTAAGAAAAAGTGAGAAGTTATAAAAACCTACTTTTTGATTAATTGAATATCTGATATAATAATTCTTCTGGATGATTTATGATGAATAAATTTAACCATTTTAGCATTTTTAAAATCAAAAGAATGGTTTGTATATTGTACATAAGAGCAGAAAGAATTTAATGTGTTCTCATTTTTTTATTGCCATTTTATGTTCATTGATGTATTTTTGTTTTTTTTTAAACTTTGTTGTTTCACCGATATACACTTTATCACAATTACTATATGGTGTGTTTTATATATATATATATATATATATATATATACTCATTTGAATCATATTTATTATTCTTGTTTTTTTTAATTATGTCTATTATGGTAGATGATGTGATTGGGCAGTTTTAATTTGAAGTTCTTATAGTTTATCATCAATTATTTGAGTAGAGGGATTCATATGTAAAGATTAATATCTATCATCTTAAATTGTTTTCATATTTATCATTGATGTGTATCTGATTTTTATATTTACAGATATTCAGAGTTTTCTTTTTTTGCAGTGAGTATAAAGTAGGACATTGTAGTGATTTCAGTGAATTTAAGTTCTTTGTCTAGATAGTGGAAGATACATACTGTAAATTCTTTTAGATGAAAACCCATTATTATACCAGTTTTAGTTTTATTGCCATGATGTAAGTAAAAAGATATATCGTTGTTTTTATTTGTTCATTTTTATATACTTTGAATCTAATAATGTCTAAAAAAAGAAAATTGACTGAGTTATTTCCTATTTCAAAGGTCAATTCAAAAGTTAGTTCAATCTGCTTTACCCTTTTAATAATAATATTTATATCAAACTTTTGGGGT